AACATTATATAGACAATTTCCCCTTAAAAGTTCTATCTTTCAAATACATTCACTGATCCTTCCAAAGGAAGGAGGTGGATATTTGAAAGAGACTTTGAATCATAGGGAAAGGATGGATGCAGACAAGGCATTCCATGTTTGAGAAACAAGCTTTCTAATCTAGAGCTCTGCCTAGCTCCTAAACCCTAGTCTCCTCAGCAGCTGCTAGCAGGATCTCCTCATCAACTCTGGAAGTTGGCCTTCAAGCTCTGGACCTCCAATGGCTTCATCATCACAAGCCTTCAGCTCTCCCAATCCCCAAACAATCCCAATACCCATACAGACAAACAAATAATCCCCAGAGGGCACACCACACCAATCAATCAAATACAGACAGTAATATACTAATAGCAGTAGGGGAATCCTAGTGATTTCTAAGGGATCTAATAACTACCCATAGTCCCTATAGTCCCACATCTAACATATTCAATCTCTAAGTCCTAAGGGAAATGACCTAATTCTCCTAAGTTGTCACTTAAACCCTAATTTTATTCATGTTGTTCACACTTAAACTAAACACCTAAAATTAATTCCTAAAAATATGAACTAAATTGCATATACAAGTTAACAATGTCTACTAATCAACCTAAAAAGAATGGGTGAAAAATATTAAAGCATCTATTAGAACAAAAATTATCAAATTCATGTACTAAACAAAATACTATTTACACCTAATTAAAAGAAAAATATGCCAAAAATAAGAAAATGAAATGAATTATTAATTTTTTTGTATGAGAATTTTCTTGACAAAATTATGAAAATAATGCAAAAAGAACCAATTGAAAATATGCATTTTATGATTTATTATGATTTTTTTAAGAATTAATATTTTTGAAGAAATAAAAATGAATTAAAAGTGGAAAGGGGTGCAGGGAGTAAGTTGATTCATTTAAAAAAGCAAGGATGGGCCCAGACTGGGGGCGCGCATAGCAAGCGCGTCTGGGCCCAATGCAAGTCAGAAAACATAATAAAAATTAAAAAACCAAAAATGGTGCAGATAGTAATTAAACCAGTTGAATGTTATTGGGCCTTGGCTGAGAGGGGTACGAATAGCAAGCAAGGTTTGAGCCCATCAGATAGGATTAAATGAAACGGTGTGTTTAGCACCCAGGGTCTCCCTCCAAATCTCATTTTAAACGTGAGCCCTACGATCAGGTCCTTGGTCCAAGTCAAAGGGGTCATCCAACGGCTGTCCATCGTCTTCAACCTTAGAAACCCTAGGGTTTCAGAAATCTCCCTCCATGCACGCACCTTCCACAGCTTGGTTCTCCCTCAATTCTCCATGAATGCCCTCGATCCAAAGAGAAAAGTTGCTCTAAATTTCTCCCTCTACACAGCCATAACCATAACTCCTCCTAAAACTCAAGCAACAATGGAACCCGATAGGTATAACAGATAGAATCCACCATTAACACCTGATATCAACTGCTTCAATTCTCCATAATTTTTACCCTAAAATGATCTACATCTTATGCTGAGTAAATTAAGCTATTGAGCCAAGATTATAAGGCCATATCCTTGATGTTCTAGGTTCTAACAGAATTAATGCACCATTGATAACCTCCATTAAACTTCTCCAAACTTTGTGAACTTCATCACCTAACCACCTAGGTCTCTAATATACTAACAATCCTATTCCATGATCACTATGCTAGCTAATTCGAAGGAAAACATACCTGGTGCAAATTCTTGAAAACAGGTGCTAAAATCCTTGGATTTGATGCTTGTGATGAGTGGAAAATGATCAAGGAACTTGATTATGAATTCTGTATGCAATGAATCTTGTCCAATCCTTCTGAATTCAGCAATCCCAAAGTTCTTGCACTTTGGATGATAAAGTTGTATGGCACGATTCTTGCTCAATTCCACCAAATGAATGTGTGAATTCTGGTCCTTGGATGATGATGATGAAGAACAGATCAAGAATGATGCAAATTGATGAGAATTTGAGAGAGTTTGGATTGATTTTGCAAGATGAGAGAAAGTGTATGAAACTTGTGATTTTGAGTAAATGTGATCACCAACCATGGCATGAACCTTCTCATATCAATATATAGGTGAGGTTAGAAACTCCTAGAAGCTTGGAGAAACTTCCCTTGTATGATTTCCCTTGGATTTGGTTTATGTATCTTCCATTACAAGTAACCATGGATAACTCCCAAAATGTGAACCAAGCTCAAAATTCTACTTTAGCCAATGTTCTCAAAATGATCTTTCCATTCAAAATGACCTATAATTTTGCTTCATTTGGCTAAAATATGAAAAATCTCATTTTTAAGTCCATTTTTATTCATTAAATCCAACAATTTTGAAACCTTGTGCTATGAATCTTTCCAATCTCTCATGCTCACTTTTCTAGACTCAAAATGTCATTTGGAACAAGTTTGATGTTGTAAAGTTTTCCATTTGAAGCTTCCTTGTATGAGTTTTGGGCATAGGTTGAAATGACCTGTAATTCTCAAATGACCAAAATACCCTTTACTTGCCAAGACCATAAGTAGAGCTCCACAAATCAGATGAAGGCATACCATACCTTTCTAGAAAGCTAAGACAATGAGGAACAATTCTTATGTTTACCATAAATTCATTTGAAATCTCCTTGAGGGGTAAAAATAGCTTGGAAGTCAAGTCACTTTCACAGACAAAATTTCAGATACCTCAGATGACCTGTAACTTGCAAGGACCATAACTTGAGTTCTATAAATCTCCTTGATGTCTTCCACCACTCAAATTAAAGGTCTTGAGATCCTCTACAAGTTCCATGTTGGCCAAGGATCCATTTGAAGCTTGTATTTTGACTTATCTTGCTTGGAAATTTGACCTAAACTAGGGGATTTTACACAGAAACCCTAATTTAGAAACTCCTCTTCTCCTTGATTTCTCCTGATTTCTTCTTGGCATATCACCATATCCTTCTTTACATGTCAAATGATGAACCCCACATCTCTCCAATAGCCCTTAATGCCTTTCAATCAATCAATTGACCTAGAGTTGACCCAGAGTTGACCCCAGATGAAACCATAGTTGACTGTCTTCAACTGCAATACTTGTGACTACACCAATGACTTGTCTCCTTCTCCCAATGACTTTCTAAGTCTCCCATGATGCCCACATACTCTCCATGCTCAGCCCACAACTCACACTTTCCTTATTGATCCCCAGATACACTCAGTTAGGAGATAGATGAACTGCTTGATCCATTGACTTGATAGCTTCCAAATTCTTTTCTGATGACTTGAATGAGATTGAATCAGGATAATAACCTCTTGATAGGCCTCTAGAGATGAGAATAATGATTGGTCCCCTGTTGGATGACTTGCTATGCTTATGCTATGCAGATGGTTAGGCTATGTGCATGCCTCTATATGCAAATGCTAATGATATTGAAACATAAACCAAGTGAATAAGGTTGGGCAAATTTTAGGGTGCAACACACTCACGAAGCCGTTGAGTACAACAACTTCTCAAGATCTAGGAGACAAACTAAAGGTTGTGTCTGAAAGTCACCATCCTTCAGTTTGAAGGGGTGTTAGAGTAAAATGTTAGAAGATTAAATTTTACTGTTACTAGTATGTTAGTTGTTACAGTTAGGGGTTAGTTTTAACTCTTTTTGTTAACTCTAATGTACTTAAGCTAGTTCCAAGAGTATTGTAGCTAAGATTCTCTTCATTTTGCCTAATTTACTTCATCTTTTTCATTCGTCCTTTTCTGATTTTGTGCAGTGTTCATAGAAAGAGAATGAACACTAATGTTCATCTCTAATAGCCATGTGTATATTCTTTTCTCTAGAAGCGTTCTCCTGTCAAATATCGTTCCTACACATAAATTGAATTAGAAATATATATATATATATTCAATTAAATTTGAGATATATTATAGTGTTTAATTAATGTGATTATTTTAGAGTTTTTTTATAAATTGTAAGAATATTTAAAAAATATAAATAAATTATTTAAATATTTGAACAAACGTAAAATAATATTAAAATTTCTTAGAATCCATTTAAACAACTCAAATAAATTTTATGAATATGGGTGCTCTTGCTTTGGTGAACGATGAAAGTCATGAACAAATTCCACGAACAATTAGTTTCGTACGTACTTGGATGATATAGATTATATGAGATGTATCCGCGTAAAAATACTACAACTTCTAGACTTGTAAGTTGCAGCTACTACCTAACGTTAGATTCTTGGAACTACCATAGAGAAAATAGTTGAAACTTCCACTACCAAATACTAGTAATTAATTAAGTCACCAAACCCATTTTACTAAACTACCATGAATCTTCATCTGTTGATCATATTTGACTGTGTCTGAAGCCGTAATTCACCGCCGTTCAAACCGTCTCCGTTTGAAATCACACCACAAACTTTTCATATGCTTCTTTTTCTACCAACCAAACCAGTTGGGAACACAGAAAAAATAACAATTCAACTAAACTAGCAGACCAAACAGTTCTGTTACACTAACAACAACAACAACGTTGTTCACTTGTTGGAATCCAATTTTTGTTTCAGTTCAACTTGAAGAAGCAACATAGAAAGTTCCAAATAAAGAAACACCATCGATGTTTCTTTCCCATCACTCGCTTCTTTCCTTAACACGGTCCAATTAGCGTAGTGACTAAGCATCGCCACGTGGACTAAATATTAGAAATATCAATAGAATACCAAAAGAATACAAATCTAACTGCAATTTTCAACTTAACCATTAAGGGTATTCTCGTCATTATACTATAGCTTCACAATTAGACTTCCCTAAAAGTTTCAACGAAAAACATAGTCCACGCACATTCATTCACACGTTTTCTTGACTTGTCTCCCACTCCAACAAACCCTATAAATACCAAACTCACACGTTCGCTACTTTCAAACCATTCAAATTCAACATCCTCACACCAACAACACAACAAAACATAATCTTTCAAGAAAACAAAAACAACAATTTCCATATTAGTAATGGCAATGAAGAGACAAAGAAACAACGAAGGAACAGCAGACAACATCGACGTAGCAAATTGCTTAATGCTCCTCTCTTGTCCACAACAAGAAAAAGCCTTTGAAACCGGAGTATACGAGTGCAAAACATGCAACAAAAAATTCTCATCTTTTCAAGCACTTGGTGGCCATAGAGCTAGTCACAAGAGAATGAAGCTAGCTGAAGGAGAAGAGCTTAAAGAACAAGCTAAGTCTCTTAGTTTATGGAACAAACCCAAAATGCATGAATGTTCTATATGTGGTATGGGATTTTCCTTGGGTCAAGCATTGGGAGGACACATGAGAAAACATAGAGCTGCCATGAGTGAAGGGTTTTCTTCTATCAATCAGATTATTGCTAAAATTCCAGTTTTGAAGAGATCGAATAGTAAGAGAGTTATGGGATTTGACTTGAATTTAACACCTTTGGAGAATGATGACTTGATGCTTGGAATGAAGTTACCTTTAACACCAATTCCTCTTTCTTTGTTTTGATCATTTTTTACATTCTTAACATTTTGTTGACTCTTGTATTCTTTCAATTTTTTGTGTAGAAATTCGTTGATTCTTTTGGTTATTATAGATATATAGTTTTGCTATTTGTAATAAGTTATTCTAATTATCAACATTGATATTTCAACACCTTATTATTTATTGATTAATTGTTTTTATAATAAATTGTTTGGTGTACCTGCAAATTTCATTCTTGTAAGTGAGTTTCGTGGTCGTCCAAATGATGACAACCACTATGAAATAAACAACTCCAATTTTCCAAGCACATTCATTTCCAAAGATCATTCTGTTAACTTAATCTTATGTTTAAAATTAAACATAAAGCTGAATTCTTATTTATGCATTTTAAAAAATTGGGTAACGAAAGTTAATGTAAAATGATTTGAAAATAATAAAAAAAAATTATTTTATAAATAATTAATTGTGTTAAAATTAAATGGTATAATGTAATTGGTTGAAGGTACACTTTCTATTAACTAATATTTTCGACATAGTTAGTTCGGCAGAGAAAAATTAATGTTGAAAAGATATACCGCCAGGTTTGAAATTACTTAGTTCGCAAATGTTTGGTCAACTTCGACATGTGTGGTTTCACCTGTGTGGGACTTAACATGTCTTTGGCAAATGTTGAAGGATAGCTGACTTCGACCACGACCACTTATAAAGGGATAAAATCGAGTAACCGCTAGTTGAAGATATTTAGACATTGAGACGAGTGAGAGTTAGCCATCAACTCAAAACCACGTAGAAGGTTACATGTTAGGCTTGCAAGTCATAACTGTAAAAAATAGTTATACCTTCACTAGTATATATAGATAGTCTCTGCGTAGAGATTAGGGGTGCCAAATCATATATAAAACTATATAGAACTTAAAGTACCCGCGTCAAAGAGAGAAACAATTTTGTGAGACAATGTATGATCTTGTACACCAACTTCTATTCATTTAATTGAAATCATTTACTTTAACACCCATATATAATACATGTCTAGAATATACATATCATACATGGTTGAAAATTTGGTACTGAAATACATAAGTTTCTAGTGACAACATTGTACATATTACATGTCAAAAAATACTACAACAACGACACAATATATACAAGGGTGCCCAAAATATAAAACTAAAACTAAACCATTGCAAGATGATCTCCAAAATCACTGCACAACAGATACGCCATCCAAAATATCAAAAGAAGTAAGGACATCATGCTACTTTGTCCTTACCCTTCACTGAACTAGAGCCACTTGAAAATAATAAACAAATATGGGGTGAGATAATAATCCTAGTGGATTCCCTATTTTATGGGTCCACTCGACTCTACAATATTCTAATCAAACCTAACTTGAGTCCTAAAGGAGAAAAATAGACTCAAGTTTACAAAACTACATTGTATGGAGACATGCCTCATGATTTCATCAACTCAAACTATCACTAATTAGAAACCATACCAAGGCATCTTTTCCATGTCAACCCTACGTCTAGAGTTATCGACACGGGTCACGGATCCTTGTATCATATTTCCACTTTCTTGAAGACTTCAAGTTCTTCTACATGACTCTAATCCATTTTGGTTGCACTATGAGACTCTAACCCATTTGGTTGAACATATAGGGCTCTAACCCATTTGGTCGATGCGAAGTATTGGCGCATTCATCTCAATCTTACTCTATATAAGTATCATGACTTAGGATGGGACAATTAATGGTTGTTTTCGACTACGTGATTTAATAAGGGACATCGTGATTGTATTCTACAACCACAAAGAGATCACATCACCTTAATATTCACAACAACCTCACATGTTCCATACAATGCCTGACATCTTAGCTAGACAATCACTTGCTTATGATACATACCTAGGTTACACATGCACAAGCATTGTCATCTATATCATTCATCATATCCTATTTATCTTGCTAGTTCATTCCATTAAGTTACTAGTAAGGTTTTCCTCACCAATCTTGTGAATTTCCAATCATATTATCAATTAGTCACAAGCAATAATTCATTGATGGGAGACATGCATAATACCAACAAACTATAACAATTAGCATAAGATATCTTATAACAAGGCTAAAGCATATACATGAAACACTTCAAACAAGTAACAAAACAATTTCTCAAAGTTGTGTCACGGTCGTCTGGCGAGCAGCCAGCGAGGCTGGCTCGCTTTTGGTTCACCCGACAAACCCCAGGCGAGGCCCAGATAGAACCAAAGTTGCATCATGGTCGCCCACGAGAAATCAGCGAGGTAACTTGCTTTCTGTTTGCTAAGGCTCGTTCGACGATGCTAGCAGAAATCAGCTCGCCTCGAGCTCGCCCAATGAGGGCGTCAAATTTTGCAAAAATTCAGCAGAGGTGGGATGGCATTCAAGGGGGTTTTAACCACAAACTCATACTTGATGCACCCACAAGAAAAAATCAACACATAACACAACACGGTACCATATTAATCATGAGCAACAACATAATTTTTTCATTCTCATGGCAATGAAAGAAACATATCAAAAACCAATATCATCAATTCTATCTCAAACCTAAAATCTCTAATTTCAACACTTATGGTTTCTATCTAGAATCCACCTTAAAATTTAGATGAAGTTGTTGAATGATAAATATGAAATGATGTTGATGATGGATGATGAAGAGCTCCAATTTCTTCCATTTCTTCCATTTCTTCTTCTATTAGGTTTCTTCTCTTTATTTCTATTCTTTTTTCTATCTTTCTCTCGTATGCCTTTCCCAAAAAGTTGGAAATGAATATGATACATTGAGATATCATTTGGAAAGGAAAAGTTGGTAAGAAAATATGGCATGGGTGGTAAGGAAGTGGGTATAAAACTTGTGGCAGAAAAATGATAAAATTATTAGTAACATAAATATTAAGTGGTATAATGCTTAATATTTGTTCTACTAGAGCAAATGACTAATTATTAATGTTATCAAAATTCCTTTATTGTACCAATTAGTTAAAGGTCAGACTTGAATAATATTAATTAAGTCAATCTGAACTCACTAGTTACTCTAATTATCCCAACTGATAACTTTTAGAGCATATAGGAACTCAGTTGATCTCAATTAATAGTATTTAGAGTATTTTAGGAAATACGGGGTATTACATTTACACCATTCCTTGAGAATTTACACCACCTTCATTGTCTTTACATTTATTTTACTCAACAAATGACTGATTTTTCCTCAAGTGGCGTCAGGATCAGCTTAAGTAATCCAAGTCGAACAATACGACCCCAAACAAGGATAAGTTATATTTCCTCAGACTACGCAATCTTTGAACACAATATCCCTTATGTCTTTAAGATACCAGATGGACGAGATCAATCATGAAATGGTTAGAACTCTTACTCAACGGATGGGTACTGCGTTCAACCCTCGAATCCAGAATATTAACCAAAGTTACCATATGTTGGAAAATCAAATGGGTCAAATTGTTGATTTCTTTGGTGCTTCTCAACTACCTAATCAGCATATTATTCATGTTCAGAATGTTAGGTTGGTGCAAAATTTAGGAGTACCAAACAATATGGTAACCCCCATGAATCAAGGGTTGCAACAGGTTGTGTCCTAACTAGTTAATCCCCCTACACAAGTAAAGGTCGAAGACAATGTGGGGCAGACTTCCCAGAGGTAGTTTTGGTAAATAGAAATCAAAATATGGACGAAGTATATAGGAATGTCCAACAAAATAACTTTGGAAGGCAAAATAACTTGGATTACATTGTCAAAACTATTTTTTTTCCCAAAATGGTCTTAACATAGGCCTCCGCAAATCAAATTTTGTGTCTGCCTTATCAGAGTACATATTATAGATTGAACTCCCAAAGAGCTAGAAGATCTCCAAATTTACAAAGTTTGTAGGAGACACCAGCGAGTCGATGGTCGAACATGTAACCCGTTATCTTACTGAGGTAGGGGATTTGGAGAATGAAATATTTCCCAATTTCTCTGACAAAAAACGTCTTCAAACATGGTTCACAATATTTCCCCCACACTCCATATGTAATTGGATTCAAATAGAGAGAGTGTACCACGAATAATTTTACATGGGTCGGTAAAAAATAATCCTTAAGGAATTGGCCAGTGTTTAAGCGCAAAATGCCTGAGTCAATTGATGACTACGTGAAGAGGTTTAGACTTTTGAAGGCAAGATGCTTTACTCAAATTCCTGAAAATGAGTTGGTCGAAATGGCTACAAAAGGTCTAGACTATTCCATTAGAAAGAAGTTAGACACTCAATATCTAAGCGATATGATCCAATTGGTAGACAAAGTTCGCCAAATCGAACGATTAGAAGCTGAAAAAGGCCAGATCGAACAAGTATAGCAAAAAAGATAAATTTGCTTACATAAGAGAAAATGAGTATTTAGAGTCTGATATAGTTTATGATCTTGTCAAAGAAAGTGAGGTCCATGTGGCAAAACTAAATCCTATACCCCCATACGTTTGTAAAATTTTTAAACCTTTGAATGAAAAAAAAACCCCGTCGAACCTAATAAGAATGAGATATTTGTTACAAAGACATATACATTTGATATAACAAAGTGTGATGAAATTTTTTATTTTTTAGTCACTAATGGGCAGATCATAGTGCCTCCAGGCCTAAAAACACCTCCATTAGAGCAGAGAAAAAGAGAGGTTTTTGCAAATATCATAATTTCTTAGGTCATAAAACTTCTCAATATGTGTTTTTCAGGGACTTGGTACATAATACGCTCAAAGAAGGCAGACCAAAGCTATAGAAGTGGAAGGATGTCAACATAGGCGTAGGATCCTCCTACCATGACAACTCCCATATGACAAAGAAGTATACATATGGTCCTCAGAATCATCTAGGAAAGAACCCTATGACGAGCACATAATGATGTAGACACCATATGAATAAAAAGGCAGCATATAAAGCTACAAGGTCGAAATCTAACAATAAGACACCTACATAAAGAACCAATGAGGTGGCAAAAT